TATGCTTGTGCCAGGCTCAGATGGAGCTTGGAACTAGTCCCAGTTGAGCAGTAATGCACAGAGYGTTCAAGCAGGACTAAAAGCACAACTGGCCTGAGCTGATCCCCTCCTGCAATGCCCCCACTGAGCAGCTTCACCCTGAGAAGCTGATTTGGTCAGTTCTTCATGGTAACACACCCAACTCYCACCTCACCCTCCCTAAAGTATGGTCAAGTACTAAGTCCAAGCATCAACACTTCAGAAGGAACATGCAAGAAAAAATGCAAGTTAGTTGGAAAACTCAAGGCTGAGGGTATGGGGTGGAAGTAGGAGACAAACCAGCAAAATAGGGTTAAGGCAATACAAAACCCCAAGCCCTGTGCCAGACCAACCAGCTGTGAGCCAAATCCCAGCTCTTCCAGCCACCTTCCCTTAGGATGCAAGGTAAAGGAACATGGGAACACCTACAGCCACATTTCACCCAGGCTTTGTAGCCACAGRAAACCCAGCCAGACTTCCCTTCAGGATGCTTTCAAAACACAGGAAATCCCCAGTCTTGTCCTTTGTATTCTTTTTTTCAGCCAAAAGAAAATGTCTAATGCCAAGTGTAGATTTTACTACTCCAGTTGCAGTAAAATCTGAGTGTAATATATTGTAACCTCCTACTTCTTGGCTGAAGGAACCAGAACCTTGAACCTCCACACCAAACCCCTGCTTTCCCCCAGATGCTCATTCTACACTGGAGCTAAGTACGCAGCAACAAAAATGTGCTGTTAAATTTCACAAAAACACAATTTAAAAAAAAACCCTTACAAACCTTCCTCCTACTCCTGTAAGCGCTGTTAGTGCTCTCATCACCAGAGCCACGCAAGGTGCACCAAACCTGTTGCATACATGTATAGCAATGTAAAATACACACAGATATATACACTGCACATTATAATGTGATATACATACTGCACATTATAATCTGATACACAAAATGCCACTTTTCTGTACTTCTGCTCAACACATCAGATTTGATACTGCACACAGCTGAGGTTCACAGGAAATGCAACAAACTTCACCTTAACTCAGAAGATTTTGTCATCGATGTACAACTTGCAAAACGAAATCATCTCTGTGGAAAAAAATACCAACCCAACCATGCCACCACTGGGGCAATGCCAGAGCCTGCATGCATCCAGACCATGTTTTAGGGATCAGAAGGCCTCTTCTGGAGATGGGGGAAGGYCACCAGCACAGGTAGTAATCTTTAGGCTGGTCACAGTTTAGGAATAGTTCACTTCAGGGCATAACCCACTCAGTGAACTGTGGGATGTGTTGCTCTCAGGAGGCAAAGCAAATTGTCTGTTGTTAAATATGCGAAGAATGAAGCAGGCAGCATCCAAAAGCAGCCTTCACAAGAACTGTATAAAAAGCAGAAACAACCTTAAAACATATCCTAGGATCTAAAATTTCCATCTCTCAGCCTCCTCCTCCATCAAATCACAACTCCCTTCTACCCCAGTCTGGGGAGCTTCAGGGAAGACCTGGAGGCATCACTCACGTACTTCACACAGTATTATAAAAGAAAGAAAAAATGCCCCTTGGGTTTGGGAATCTGGAGCCACCCCATGCATATGCTCAGGTGATGGCTTTTCCCTGGCTCACTCAGAGCTCCACCAACAGCAAACTCCAACATCTGGGCATAAACMAGCTCCCAGAGAAGTCCCAGTCTGCACATTTCTCACTGGGCACATACAAAGGCAAAGAGGGATCTGAACTCACTGAAAACCTGAAGACAAGATAGGAAATAAAGTTGTAAAAGTGACAAAGAATCTACTTGGCAAAAAAAACAACCTGTTGACTTCTAGTCTCAGGTGATGTCAAGCCATGAGGCAGCCAGTTGTGATTCCCAGCACACAGAAAACACAAGAGGGATTTGTAGCCATTTGGTAACCTGCTACCATGTTCCCTTCCACATGTTGGAAAGGTGTCTCAGCCCTAACAAGGATAAGCTCATGAGTGTGGACAAGAGCAGCCATTAAACTCCCACCCAGCCAGGAACAGACCACTCACTTCCTTACACCTCACCTGTAGCTGCAGAACTTCCCCACAATGCAAAACACTGGGTAAATGTAATGTCAGCTCCTTCAGTAGTCACTCCACCTCAGTCTTTTACTTGTAACTCAAAGGAAATTAGATGCATTTTTGTATTGAATGCCATCTTTTTTACCTCCCCTCCTTTTAAAGCTTGTGAATTAAAAGCAGCTGGAACTACAAAGCCCAAAGGAGACTGGGAGGTTGGGCCTGAAGCAATCAAATAATCATGGAAAAAGGACACTGGAAAAGGCAATTAGTGCTGATGTAAATTCCTGTCAAACAGAAGTCACTGTGTGGGACACAGGGTAGAAGTCTCCCAAGAGCCAACTGTAGATACTCCAGTGCCAGGTGGAACAGGTGGGGATTGCAAAAACATCTTCCTAGGAATTTTTCTGTCCCATGATGAGACTGGCATCTGATATGATGCTCTGGAACAAAAAGAGAGAGACAGCATCCAAATAACCAGCCCCTTGCAGATGCCCTATTTTAGGAAGCAATTACCCTCTCTGCCACACACCCCTGGCTCCAGCACACCTCCAAAATGCACATGGGAATTCAGAGTGTCCTGTTAGTGCCAGATCCACAGTGCTGCACCATGGCTGTCAGGGCCACACAGGTTTGGTTTCCTTGTGCCTGATTTCTGTCTCTTAGAAATGCAACACACAAGGTAAGAAATGATGTATTATTAATAAATGCTCTGCACATAGTTTAACTTTATTAAAGACACATTAATATTTTCACTTAGAGGAAAACAGGTGCTTTGATGACTGGACTGAATCACCACCTAATCAGAACAGCGCTCTGAGCTGTGCATCCACAGTGTGTGCTCAAAGGCTTGTRAGCACCTTCCTAAAAAGTCCCACTGAGGCACAGGCAGGGTCCCTTCTCTGTCCTGCAGAAAAAGAGACAGGGATGTCTCCTCACATCAAGTGACATGGCAATTCATACACCAAGGAGAAACTCCATTTCTCCCTCCTCACCTGCTCTCACCAATACACGGAGTCCTACCTGACTCAGATGATGAAAAATATGTTTCAAGAAGTCATCATCACTCTTGTGAGTCATGAGAAGAGGAGGAAATGACTCCAGGAGAGATGATTCAACTAAGGGGAGAGTTGAGACAGAAGAAAACACTGGCAGGAGAATGGAAGGAGCTATGGGAGCCCCACTGCTTCAAAGAAGCTCAGGAAAATGCGGAAGAAATTTTGAAGATTCAATTTCTTTTCTTCCATCAACTTCCCCATTTTCAGATTCTGTTGCTCGTACCACCMATCCAAAACGTCAAGGATTTACATGGCAACTGTATGTAAAAGTCTGCTCCATCTGAGAGTGCACTCTGAAGGAGTCCTCTTGAAAGACTAATTTAGGTCAAAGGATCATTGTTCCCACTACAAAGACAGCCCCAAGTGCTGTTACCTAACCAGCACTGCCAGAATCATTCCTGTGTYAGATCCAGCATCAGGTGAGCCCTTCACAGCACACCAAAGAGTCCTGCCCAAAAACCCAACAAAAAAAGACCATTGGAAAACAAAGAAGGTTATTTGTACCATGGGCACAGTTCAACCCTTGATCTAGCACCAAAAGTGTACATAACTCTCTGTAAGTCTGTGTGACTCAGAGCAAAGGGCTAAGACAAACAGTGTGACTGATGAGCTGMAATTCAAATGTCACACTGGAACTACTCAGCACAATCATGCTGTGTAACTCAGGGTTATTACCCTCTGCATCCCACGGGAGCCATGGGTAGTCCAGGTGAGTAGCAAGTTTGCAACYACCTTCTGTCACCTCTGTCTTCCTCCAGAATCCATAGGTCTGCACACCTCTGGAACATTTGATATGATAAATGCTCAAGTATGCACACAAACCATATGAACACAAGGATGCAAGTTCATGTTAAGAAAAAATCTGGTCTCCYTTGTTTTCACTTCCACAATCCCAAAAGCAGTGTTGACATTCTTTAGTCCCACTTCAGCTCCTTCCATTCAAGCTAAAACACCTGGTTGAGTCCCAAGTAGAATTATTCTTAACTTCCCAAAGTAAGGAATTGGGTAAACAGCAATCTTCTTCACCCAAGTCCCTACAGTTACCATCTTTGTCAGATTCTGTGGACAACTTCACACCATCCGGACACTCAGGCCAGACTTTGACCACTATTGATTGAGATCCTAGCTTGAGTTTTGACACTCCCCTGGCTCACATGGGTGTCTTGTGATTCCTGTTGTGTACCTTCTCCAAGCTACTTCTTCACCCATGGGGACAGGTCACTTGTAAACTCCCACTGCATTAGTTACACCTCAGTTACTGCAATATCCCTCTCTCACCACAGCAGTTTTCCCTGTGCTCCATTCCTGGCTATCAGGTTGCAGGATGACCAAGTCTTTTTGGCTCCAGTGCCTCTGTGGACATGACAGGTGTGTCACCTGCTCTCAGCCTTCCCCTTACCTATCACCCTGCAGATGCCCTTTCAGTGAATCAAGCTAAGCCTGCCTCCAGCTGGCCACACTGCCAGAAGTGCAGTGCACAATTTCACTCGATAGAATTGTGTTTTAGAAAGGGCACCGCAGCTCCTGGAGGTGAATTACCCATATCCCTCTGCAGGAGAGAGGATTCTCCACCTCTCCAGGAAGGCAATTACTGTCTCTTCCCCAGTAGCAGAGCATGGCCCTGCTGCCACCTCGCTACAGCCACCGCTGGGTTTTACTGAGGCATGGAAGATAAAAAGCAAGAAGATACCTGGAGTATATCCCCACTTGACACATCCTTGCCTCACATGCTCCATATGAATCTGTCCAATGGCAGGATGCAGTTCCCAGAAAAGGCCACAAAATCACAGAAATCACTTTGAAGCTGAGATCACAATGYTACGGCAGCAACAACCCTCTTGTTTAAACTGAACACCTCCATCAAAGGATCAGCACACAGGCCCATCTCCTTACCTTTAAAGCACGGACTTTCTTGGCCAAGAGGCTCTCAATGTCCCCTGCGACCTTCTCCACCAATTTCCTGGGCACATTCTCCTTGACTTCAAACAGGTTACTATTGTCATTGTAGATCTAAGAAGGGAAGCGAGAGAAAGAAAGGCAGTCAATATTAGAGAGGTACAGCAGTCTTCCCACAGAAAAGCTGATCCTCTAACAGAATTCTAGCAATGTGGATTAGGTAACAATAAAAGCTTTGGAAATGAGGGGAGCAAGAGAAGAAAGGCTTTGCAACCAGAAAAAACAGAAACATTCAACCTGCTGCCCACACCAGTGGCTTTACAGCTGCCTGTCTTGGTGCTTGCAGGCAATGAGCACCCCACCCTCTCACTCAAAAGCTGGGCTGCCCTCCCCACCTCTGCTGAGCCACTCCTGCAGCACAGACAGAGCTTTGTGCTATGCCCCCCCTGACCCAAAGGCATCCCCAAAGCCACCTGCTGAACATGGCAAGCACAAGCCCAGCCCCTGGCCATCCCCAGCCCCCTGCACTGCCCGCACGCCTGGCAGCACCGGGGCAGCAGGGAAGCCCTGGGTACCAGGAATGGGAACAAGGGGATCACATGAAGCAGATAAAACCTGCATCTCTAAGCAAGCCATAATAATTTGGCACCCTCAGGAAATAAGGATTTCTGCAACCAGTCCAGAACTTGTCCAGAATGTGGTGTATGGAGGCACACATGTGTACCAGGATTATCCTGAAGGCCAATGCAATTATCTGAATTTGAATGTTTGCACCCAAAGCAACAGCAGTGACCCAAAGGCCTGCCCTTCCAAGCCACATCACACAACTGCAGGGAACAATACCAGATCCAAGGGGAGTGCTGTTTGCATCAGCACTGCCCCATAAGAAGGAATCAGTCCCACCACAAGACTTCATCACCACCAACCCTCGATCACATCCTCAGATGATTTTGTGACTTGTTAACTCCACTTGCTTGCAGACTCAGATGCAATCAACACAAGGTCAAAGGGAAGATCTTATTGCCCTCATCTGAGATTATGCAAAAAAAAAAAAATCCTCATGCCTTATCTTTTCTTAAGCAAAGTGCATGAAGAAAACCACAAAGCAAATAGGATTCTGCTTCTCTGTTTATCCTCAGGCTACTTGCAAATACTTTCAGCTCCAGACATGGAGACATATGGGAACAGAGAACCCTCCAAGGAGAGCTGGACCTCCCCAAGGAGGTAGCAGACTCCACGCTCAACTGCAAATTCCATGCTAAGCATGTCTGGCACCTACCCAAGCTTGCATGATCCTTAGGAGCTGAATCATGCTTCCCACGGGACAAAACCCACTCTTTGCTGGATCTTCATTACAAGTGAAAGGCTCTGCCTGTACGTTTGTGTCAGACCTGGCCATGAGGACAAAGGAAGAGACCAGGCACCTTCACAGTAACTAATTTATTCCCAAAATCTAATATAAACCTCCCCTCTTCCAGTGTGAAGCCATTCCTTCTTGTCACGTCACACCATGGCCTTGTCCCCAGTCCCTCTCCAGCTTTCCTGAAGCCCCTTTAGGCACTGAAAGGGGCTCTAAGGTCTCCCCAGAGGTTTTTCTTGTCCAGGCTGAACACCCCTAGCTCTCTCAGCCTGTGCTTCATAGCAGAGGCGCTCCAGCCCTCTGGTCATCTGCACTGCCCTTCTCTGGACCTTCTCCACCTCCTCCTTATGCTGAGGGTCCCAGRGCTGGATGCAGCATTCCAGATCTCACCAGAACAGAGTACAGGGTGAGAATCACTTGCCTCTCCTCTCTTGACCCACTTTTGATGCAGCTCAGGGTACAATTTCTGGATGTTCTTCAAATCAGAGCTCCATCACACCCCAAACTTCASACCAAAAAACTGCCAACAGCAGAACATGTTGCACTGGATAAGAGCACCCCACATTGGGACAGAAAGGGTTAAAGCAAGGAATGTTCCACACAAAGCAACATTTTCTCATATTCCTTTTTTCTCCCCTTGGAAAGTAACAGCACAACAAAGTCATGTGCTTGGAAGATGCAGGACACCTCCAGCTGAGCAGCAGCAATTAGGAGAGCAAAGAGGAGCAATCTTCAAGGAGAAAGCTTAGGGTACAGAGGGAGTCCTGACATTAGTATTGCCTATTATGAAACAGAAAACTGGCTCCTATTGGGTATGGACAGAAACAGTGCCTGTCCACAAGGGAGGAGAGACCAGAAAAAGAAACCAGGAGCTGTTCCTSCAGCCCTCTGTGCAGCTGCAGAGCTCTGCAGTCTTTGTGGCTGAACAGTTCACCGGCGTTAATTAGAACAATCCAAGACAAATTAACAGTGACCATACGTGCATGAGAATGTCCCAGACAGGCAGGGGAATGAATGGTGGGGGCTCCAGGCAATTCAGAGAACTTCACCGTCTCCACTGTAGCTTTGGGCTGCTCAGAATGTGGCCAGGTTTTAGTTATCGAAGGTGACATTTCCCATATTGGGGTTTTTCCTTGAGCGGAATCAAAGGGAKGATTTTCTGGCCAAAGACATCCCAAACATTCCTCAGCGATGGCAAAAACCTTTCGTTTTGTCCAGATTACAAAGCCATTCTCATTGAAATTCTCCTGTGATCCAATGCTTCGGGACCTGGTTTTGAAAATTGTAACACCGGTGACCTCAGAGTGAAGGAGCTGCTGCTTCTGATTCCAGGTAGGAACCCTCACACCCAGCTGGGTCAGCACCCTCGGGAGAAGGGGTGCAGGTTGTGTGCTCTTGGCAGAGCAGGTTTTACCTGGAAATAGCTGCAGAAACATCCCCCATCCCCTCACACTCCCTGACAGGAGGGCAGGTGGCAATGCAGGGGCATGAACAAAGCCAAATCCTGCACTGCCCCAGCCACACTGAAACGAGAAATAATGCCCTTGTATCAGTCCTGCTCAACAGGGCTGGCAAACCTGGAGTTACTGGACAAGAGAAAGGCTGCAGAGAGCTCCTGAATTACCGACAGAGGGAGTAGCCCTCAGGCAGCACAGAAGAGGAAGAGGGATTGAGACCAAATTATGAACTGCAATCTCAAAAAATGTCTGGGAAGGGTTGAAGCTGAATGCAGTAGCAGAAGATCCAGTCCTGGCAGTGAAAAAGAGTCCAGCAGTGGATGCTGAGAGAGAACGAGTAAGTGGCAAGCAGGGGGTAGTGAGGGGGAGTATTAACAGCAGCCAAACAATAGAAAGTACTGA